AAACAGGCAAATAGGTGATCTTGCTGAATCATTTTCAAGAACAATCCTAAATGGAGCTATGGCTTTCTTGGCTACCTTATTATGTACTTTTAAAAAGAATTTCTAGATGCTTACAATTTTTTTTACTACTTGCAAATAACCTGAAGTTTTGCACACTCAGTTCTGTGCTGGCTGCAGTGACTGAACTATTTAATGAAGTAGAAGACTCACAACAAGCACCTTTCTCATTATGGTGCCTGGTGGCACAAAGTTGCTGTCAACTGGTAACTGACATGTTCCTTTAGTTTTGTAGCTTCAAGTTTATAGGGTTTTCTATAATCACATTTGTAACTGAAATAATCACTGTTTCAATTACAAGCAGGGTGGTTTGACACTTGCTTTACTGGCGTAATTTAATTTAAATGTAAGTTGTGGTGTAAATCTGAATCTCTGGGGTCCTAGTTGGTGACTTAAAGAGGAAAACACATGATGAATGTCAGTCTGGGCATTATAGGTAAAGGGAAACTGTTTCATGCATTGGAGACTAGAGGCAGGGAGAGATGTCTTGGCATATGTTCAGGTGGTTAAAAATCCTCAGGATCTTTACAGGTGCGGTAACAGCCAGGGTGATCTCTTTGGCTTTACCCCAACATAAATAGGATCAGCATTTAGCTCAGTAATTGAAAATGTGCCATTGTTCTTCACGGTTACCCTTCCTGGGTCCCACATCTAGCATGCAGGAGAAATACAGTAACTACTGTTCTAAAGCTAGTCAACACAGGTAGGCTGCTGAGAACAGCTTGTAGCAGGACACTGTATACCAGTAGCATGCTCAGTTTTATGAGCTGGGAGCTGCTAACTGATTCCGAGAACTCTTCCCTCTGAAATGCAAAGAACAAAGCTTTGCTGTGCGGTTGCCTTCCATGTAGTCATTCTCTGTGATCAAAGTGTAGGTATGGAAGGCTGGGAAAGTGTGGAAATCAGAGATGCAAAAAAACTCATTTCTACCAAACACATGACTACCTCAGTTTTAAAGTAATCTGGCTTTTAATTCCGTAGAAAGTTCTCTGTACCTGTCCATGTGGCGATTTTTAGCAGGAGACCAATCACTTAAGCTTTTTTAAAAAAACAAAACAAAACACAAAGTCACTAACCATTCACATAAGTCTCATGATTTTAATGTTCTAAGAGAGGAAAAATAAAATGCTGTAGTTCTAGATGTGTACAAAAAGACACTGGTATGGTGCTGACAAATTGACCATAAGTAATGAGACTCAGTACATCCCTTCTGCTTTATGTGCTCTCCAATTCTAATGGAGTGAAATGACCAAGTTTGCTGTTACTGAATGGTACCTTAATTCCCAAAGCTTGAGTTGGAGAAATTTCCACTTCAGTTTTGGAACCATAATCTGTTATATATCAGAGTGCCACTTAAATAATATTTTAAAAATGGTTGTAAAGGCTAGAATGTTCAGGGGGACACAAAAGCCATAACGAGTCACTTTCTATAGGAATGACAAATCTCTTCAGGGGAATGACTTTTTTTAAAATAGCAATCTATACCAAAACAAGGCAAAATTTTCTTAAGAAAACAAATGCAGTTGTCTTGCACATAAGTGGTACAACTAATAAATCTTTTACAAATCATTTCTCCTTGCAGTAATTTATTACAGCATTTCTACCTCTCTCAATCTTTTGATTTTGACTGAAAGTCTATAAAGCACCTTGAGAGCCTCAGAGATGAAGGATACTCTTCTGATTTAAGCACAAGATGGGGCACCTAAGGGAGCTGGTTTTTTCTCCAACCTTTCAGCAAGCTTCCTGGTAGTTCTTTAAACAGGTTACTTGGCTTGACTTTCAGAAGTGCTGACTACCCCCCACTGCTAAATAACTTCAGTGGGAAGGACAATTTTAGTGATACTTAGTGGACTTACAAGTGGCAAGGAAGCTCATCTTAAAGGCAGTAAGGGCTGAGGGGAAGTATCTATTTTGCTATTTTGACGGATAAAAGGTTGGATTTGAGTCAGTACTGGACTTATCTTTAGTTGTAACAGGCATGTGCTGTGTTCTGATGATACTTGAAAGAAAAGTATTCACCAAGTTCACTACTGAATGCATATGAAGGATAACGAAGTTTAATCAAAGAAAACTTGTGTCCAAAAGTGTTTCTTTCAGGGGTTTTTTTCTTTTAAGACCATAAGCTCACATTACTGTTGATGGAATAGCAGCAGAGTAATGTACCTCTTTTTATAAATAGAGACTTCAGTTTCTGGAGTTGAGTAGGGCCAAGAAAGCTTCCACACCACACAGCTGTGGTATATACTAAAGAAAGCTCAATCTATGCCCATTTGCCCCTCAGCTCTTCCATCGTGTCTAACAAACAGGTCAACATGAGCTACATATGCTTCTCTACCACTCCTTTGGGTAGGCCATTGAACCCTCTGATGGGATCAACCTCAGTTGCTTTACCAGAACAGTATAAAAAGTTTTAATAGAGTTTCATAGAAGCATAATTACAGTACACACTCACAGAAACAACTTGGTCTCAACTCATGATTTGTTGAGCCACATTATGATTAGGTTCTTTGCCAGTGATTGGGCCAGGACATCAGGTGACATACAGAGGATCTCAGTCCAGCATCTAACAACTTTATATCCTACACTACACTTGCAAAGTGACATTTACCTTTTTTTTTTTTAATATGTACCATAATTTCAAAATGTTAAAATAGACTAACTCATTTCCAGGGCTGAAATAAAGCATGTGGAAGAACACAACAAAAAATGTAAGAAGGAAAGCGCACATTCAAAATATACTTACACTTTTGATTCAGTCTCTCATGCAATATGGTTTAATTCATTTGCTTACTGAAGATTGTATGGTCTGTACCAGAGAGCTCATGTCCTCACTTGTTAAAATGAACACATTCAGAATGTTTCCCAGTAGCAACATAATTACAAGGAAGCATAGGAAACTAAAACAAAATAAAATGGTTCACAGGTGAACATGTGAGACACACATAACTGATGCGGTTAAAGCAATTACGTGATTTAGCTAAACTCTTAGTTAATTCAGTTTTTAAGGCCAATGTAGACAGATGCACAATTTCTAAAGGGTTATACAAAGCTCTGATTATAGATCTTTTCAGTACCAAGAACTGACATTTGAAACAGACCATTTAAAGCAGAGAGGCTACAGCACAGATTTTACTAAGCGAAGGCGAGCTTGTGTGAGACGATGAATTCGTCCACTCAGAAAATGTCTCTGATCGGCAGCATCTTTCTGTTCCTGAAGAAAGAAGCTCAATTTTTCTCTTTCTTGTAAAAGTTGCAGCATTGAATTCTGTAATTTATCTCCAAAGTCCTGAAGGATGTAGAATTGGATGATCAGAGGAATTTGGCTGGAGAGACGTTTACCTGCACTCTGAAAACAGAAGATGGTTATAAAACAAAGAGAGGACACAGGAAGGGCTCTCTAGTGAAAGTCAATAAAAAGCTACAAGGTTCTGTGGCAAGTGATTGTTCCAGCATCTTCATGAATTAGCCTGTAAATGGCTCAGAGAGCTGAGATGCAACTTTTCCTTTTTAATCCCATTTGAAAATATGAATGAGATGTGCTCTTAATTTGAACCACAAGTTTTCTCAGGAGCATAAACCCCAGGCAGACCAGTCACTACTTGTATAACCTAATTAATGCTGACATTTGCCAGCAGAGGGCCATCCAGTAAACAACACTTACAGTAACTCCTCACTCAAGGTTGTCCCGGTTAACAGTGTTTCATTGCTGATCTATTAGCGAACATGCTCATTTAAAGTTGCACAATGCTCCCTTTAACACTGTTTGGCAGCTGCCTGCTTTGTCCACTGCTTGCAGAAAGAGCAGCCTGTTGCAGGTAGCTGGTGGCGGCTTGGAGCCAGTGTGGACCAGCAGCCCCCTATCAGCTCCCCACACCCCAAGGTTCCCTGTGCAGCAGCTGCCCAGCTGGCTATCAATTGCTGGGCAGTTCAGCTGTCCCTCCCCCAACTGCCATGGGCTGCTCCTGGGAGTCTCCTGCTTGCTGTGCAGAGGGGAGAAAGAGGGGTGGTAATGTCAGGGTGTCCCCCTTGCCCCCCCATCTCCATGGAGCAGAGTGGGGACATGACAGGGCTCAGGACGGAGAGAGCTTGCTGGCAGCAGCTGCTGTCTCAACTTGCTGATTTATTTAAAAAGGCAATGTACTTAGAGTGCTGCCTTGTAGAGTGTGAAGCTACATTAACAACAATAAAAAAAAAACCAGGAGTACTTGTGGCACCTTAGAGACTAACAAATTTATTTGAGCATAAGCTTTTGTGGGCTACAGCCCACTTCTTCGGATGCATAGAATGGAACATAATATTGAGGAGATATATATACATATAGAAACAACAAGGAGTCTGGTGGCACCTTAAAGACTAACAGATGCCGCCATTAAGGTGCCACCAGACTCCTTGTTGTTTTTGTAGATACAGACTAACACGGCTACCCCCTGATACATATACATATAGAGAGACAGGTGGGAATTGTCTTACCAACTCTGAGAGGCCGATTAAGTAAGAGGGGGAAAAAAAAACCTTTTGAAGTGATAATCAAGATAGCCCAGTACAGACAGTTTGATAAGAAGCAAGTGTGAGAATACTTACATGGGGAGATAGATTCAATGTTTGTAATGGCTCAGCCATTCCCAGTCCCTATTTAAGCCTAAATTGATTGTATCTAGTTTGCATATCAATTCCAACTCAGCAATCTCTCTGAGTTTGTTTTTGAAGCTTTTCTGTTACAAAATTGCCACCTGGATGACGGACCTCTGTATGTGTATATATATCTCCTCAATATTATGTTCCATTCTATGCATCCGAAGAAGTGGGCTGTAGCCCACGAAAGCTTATGCTCAAATAAATTTGTTAGTCTCTAAGGTGACCCAAGTACTCCTGTTTTTTTTTTTTGCAGATACAGACTAACACAGCTGCTACTCTGATACCTGTCATTAACAACGTGTTAACCCTTGAGGGCTTAGCCGATTGCTAGTTCATCATTTAGCCTCAAGACATTCCCTGAGAAATATCCCACCCTCTGACTCCACCATCTCAACCAAGCTTCACAATCATCATTGCTATGTATAATATTAAATTGTTTGTTTAAAACTTATACTCTGTGTGTGTGTGTGTGTACACACATTTCCCTGGAACCTAATCCCCCCCCCCCCCGCCTTTACATTAATTCTTATGGGGACATTAGATTTGCTTAACATTGTTTTGCTTAAAATCACATTTTTCAGGAACATAACTACACCGTTAAGCAAGTAGTTACTGTACTGTTGTAAAGAAAACTCCTTCCACAGAAGCCATAGTGTGTGGCTGACCTGCTTCCACAAACTGCTGAGGGGTAGTAATGGAGTGGCTCATAGTACATTAGGTTTTGTCCTACCTACTTACTTATCACAAACTTCACATCTTAGGATTCTAGCTTGAACCTCTTTAACATTATCAACTCATCTGGCACAAGCAGTCAAATGGGCACAGCCCAAAGTCAACTCCCAGTATCCAGAACTTATTTGTACTAGTCCTGTGAAGTACAGGGCTGCCTTAGTGCTATGCCCTAGCCTTAACGGATGTCATCGCGGGGATTTGATCATTTATTTAGAACCATGAAAGCTAATTGCATTTTACTGAGCTAGTTCCCTCTTAATCTAACAAATGAGAGTACAACAGAGGCAGCGATTTATAATTCAGACAAGCTATTCAAGGTGACTGACTAGCAGAAGGAACTTAAATGAAGGACACTTTTGTGAGAAATCTCAGTCTATTGCCCAACATTTCTCCTTTCAAATCATTAAGCTGAGAGTAAAATTTTCCAAGAGTACTTAGGTGCTTAAATCCCATTATCAGAAGTGACAAACTTAGGAGCCTAATTCTCATGGAAAATTGATGGTATTTAACTGCATAGTGTCTCTTGAAAATGTTGCTTAGTTAGGGTTGCCAACTTTCTACTCTCACAAATCTGAATATCTTTGCCCAGCCCCCACTCGTTCATTTTCACTAGGCTGACTCAGGGGGTTGGGATGCAGGAGGTGGTGAGGGCTCCAGCAGTGGGTGCAGGCTCCAGGATGGGGCCACAAATGAGTTCAGGGTGTGGGAGGGGGCTGTGGGTTGGGATGCGGAAGGGGCTGAGGGCTCTGATGGGGCTGGGAAATGAGGGGTTTGGGGTGCGGGAGGGGGCTCTGAGCTGCAGAGGGTTGGAGTGGGGGGGGGCGAGGGCTCCAGCTGGAGGTGTGGGCCTCTGGGTTGGGCCTGGGGATGCAGGGCTTGGGGTGCAGGAGGGTGCTCTGGACTGGGATCGAGAGGTTCAGAGGATGGGAAGGGGATCAGAGCTGGGGCAGGGGGTTGGGGCATGGGGGAGGGTAGGCTCCGGGCAGTGCTTACCTCAAAAGCTCCAGGAAGCAGCAGCATGTCCCTGTCTGGCTCCTACGCCGAGGCGCGGCCAGGCGGCTCTGTGCTCTGGCTCATCCGCAGGCGCCGCCCCCACTGGCTGCGGTTCCCAGCCAATGGGAGCTGCGGAGCTAGCACTTGGATTGGAGGCAGCGCAGAGTCCCCAGGCTGCTCCTACACCTAGGTCCGGGGGGGGGGGGGGAACGGCGGAGCCAAGGCAGGCAGGGAGTTTGCCTTAGCCCCACTGCGCCGCCGATTGGACTTTTAGTGGCTGGTCAGCACTGCTGACCGGAGCTTCCAGGGTCCCTTTTTGACCAGGCATTCCAGTCGAAAACTGGACACTTGGCAACCCTATGCTGAGTGTCTAATGGCTCTTTGCTGCAGATTTACTGCTCTAGTGTTATTTAACCTATTGCCAAGTGAAGCACTTTAGGACACCACAAGTCTGTGTGAGATGATATAAAAGCAAGTTCTCTTTTGCCTTTTCACCCTACCTCATAGCATCTATGGCTAAAATAACCACTTCTACTAACAGGAGCTACATGTAGTTTCCATTTTGTTCTGAGAGAGAGAGAACACAGGCCTGGTTGTTCAATAGCTGCCTCTAGTATTATGAATGCATTGATTTGTATCTCCACATGCATCCATTTTGTGCCATTGCACTTGAATTTTGCCGGTAGTGCATCGCTACAGACCAGGCTATGACTCACCTAAAAATCAGGGCCTTAATCTCTGAGTTGATGTAGGGCTAAATTCAGAGGTGGCATAAATTTTGTCATTAAGTTGATGAAAGTTGGGGTAATTTGAAAAGTGAGGTAGACTTATGGCAGGAAAAGCAATCAAAAGGCAGATGCTACGCACTCAGCCTGTAACTACCCCTACATAATGATTCTGTACATTGATACTGTACATGCCTTTCACATCACTTCTGAATTTGCCCATAGACATTTTACATCGGCTGTTCAAAATTCCAGTTAATGCAAAAAGATGTTAGCCATGGACAGCGGGGAGGGGGGAATTATATGCCTTATAAATGGTACCAGGGTTTTCTTAAATTAAAAACTCTTCCTATTGACTGCAAAGGGAACGGGATTAGTACATGCTGAAGGATTTGGAATGGAATAAAAACTGGTAGGAATCCATAAACTCACATTGAAGTATGCCGCCAGGTGATAACCCATTTCCATAATGGCAGAGTGGTTCTGGGTTGGAACAGTTCCAAAATTGAAACTCAAGGAGGCCGGGTTCAGACCGTTGGCTGCTTCCTTTGGTGTTTCTTCCCTGATAACTTTTAAGTCTTGGCTGTAAACATTGTCCTGGCAGTATACAAGCTGCTCCATTTTAAACTGGACTCGGATCATTGTTTCAGCTTCCTCTGCTTGTTTGTCTTTAATGTCTTCAATTTTGTCCTGTGAAGGGAGAGGGAGGGGGGGAAGCAAACTATCAAAATCTACTAAGCAACAGGTGGTACAGGTGAGTATAGGACCAGCCCCATGTGACAGGTAACATGTGACATGGTGTCACACAGTTCTCAAGAGCACACGGTAAGTGCTAGATTCTGGTTCCATGTCAGCAGGCAGGAGAGGCTGCATTGCTCTGTGTCCCCATTACACTTGTGGACATGGACAGCCAAAAGCCTGCCGTTTGAGTTCCCTGAGTACAAACAACAGAGGAGTGTTTGTGCTGCCAACTATGTGAGAAACCCCCCGAGGGATGAGTTTGCAGGGCAAGGGAAATATTGATGGGATCATTCAATATGTTCTGATACAGCATGTAGTGATTGTCGATGCTGTATTGAGCCTCAACATAGTCATAAAGGTGATATGTCTGCAGGAATCTCCACAAGTTGCTTAAAGGTACAACCATCAAACAACTGACTGATCAAGAGTGAAGGAGTAACATGATGTTCTATATACAATATATTATGCCATTCAGTATTGCTGGTCTTATATTGGGTTACATAAAATCATAGCAGTGTCAGACTGGAAGGGATCTCAGGAGGTCATCTAGTCCAGTCCCCTGCACTCAAGGCAGGACTACATAATAACGAGACCATTCCTGACAGGTGTTTGTGTAACCTGTTCTAAAAACCTCAGATGACTGAGATTCCACAGCTTCCCCCAACAATTTGTTCCAGAGCTTAACTACCTTGACAGTTAGGAAGTTTTTCCTAATGTCCAACCTAAACCCCCCTTGCTGCAATTTAAGCCCATTGCTACTTGTCCTATCCTCGGAGAAAAGGAGAACAATTTTTCATCTTTGCCTTTATAACAACCTTTTATGTACTTGAAAACGTATGATGTCCTCCCTCAGTCTTCTCTTCTCCAAACTAAACAAACCCAATTTTAATCAATCTTTCCTCATAGGTCATGTTTTCCAGATCTTCAATAATTTTGTATGTTTTCTGGGCAGCATGTGGTGTCTCACCTTAGCAGCTCTGTTAAGATTGTGAAAATCCTCAAAATGATCTTTGGCAACTTCTGTAAAAGATTTTCGGACAAGTTCTGAGGGGAGAAAAGAGACATAAAATAAAGGTAGCAGTGTAAACGTGATTACTGAGCTACTGGTCATACAAGATTTGTGAAAACTGGTCATTCACCATATCTATCCAAATGACACTGCCCTGGAGCTATGCCTCATCAATGCAGTTTTTAATCCCTCCTGGTCATATCTATGATGATCTTTCATTTTCCTATCGTGGTCGATTTCTAACTTTTTCAGAAATGTCGATTTAGGAATTTGTACTTTCAAAGTCTGAAGGTCAGGGATTGAGGTCTAGAGATCTGTCTCATGCCATGAAATTGGTTTGATTCAGATTCATTTTCCCCTGCCTGAAGCAGCCAAGATACGGCTCTTGCCATGTCAACCAAAATGTAGACAACCCAATATTTCCAAAGCTTAGGATAAGCTTAGTAAATGAAACTCACCAATTACTTTCTTCAGTATCTCAATAGCTGGTTCTTCTAGTGCCATGATTTGCTGTCTTACAATGGTCTCAAATGCTTTGTAACTGACAAACCCTGGGAGCTCTCTTCCACGATACTGTTCTTCAAATCTCCATACTTCATGTTGTATAGTTTTTCTAACTATAACATTAAAACAACAGCACTATTTAAAGACACCAAATCTGATGAATTGATAAAAGAAAATTATGGATTTAAAGTGGAAGTTTAGTTCTTTTTTCTGAAGACACTTGACTGGAAGAACTAGTACACAGCTGATCATTTAAGCAAGTTGATTTCCGTAGAACTGAGCCAAAATATGCCATTACTACTTTTAAGAATGAGCTATTTCATTCACTGAGATGAACATATAAACTAATGGAAACAGGAACAAGGGTCAGTAGTCTGATCCAGTACAGCAACTCCTATCAGTCTGATATCTTTTCTGCAGCTGAAAAACTGCCACAAATAAGTCTACTCTAGACCTTCTAGTACACTCAGACAACACCATCACTAAAACATTGTCAACACTGGAGAAATTTGCCATCCTACATAATATTTGTTCCCCTTTTTGATACATGTGTACCTCACATCCGCATGTACAAGTGAAAATGAACTGTTTTTATAATTCCCATATCTGCTGATGGAAACAGCTCAATTCAGACACACTAACTGAAAGAAAGACAGGAAAAGCCCTGAGAACTTTTGAATTTCATTTCCTGTTTGCCCAACGTGGAGAGCACAGGTGACCACGCAGAGCTCATCAGCACAGGTAACCATGATGGAGTCCCAGGATTGCAAAAGAGCTCCAGCATGGAGAACACAGGTGTGCTGATGAGCTCTGCGTGGTCACCTGTGCTCTCCATGCTGGGCAAACAGGAAATGAAATTCAAAAGTTCGCGGGGTTTCTCCTGTCTACCTGGCCAATGCATTAAAAAGTGTCCAATCTTGATTGATCATGTGTGGATTTAGAAATTATAGCATAATCATGCATGACTGGAGGCAGGAGGTGCACAGGTAATGCTGCATTCAATTCTTAAGGACCATTCCTCCTAGAAGTTCCAAGAGATTCCAGAAACTTATGGGCTTGACACAAACTACACTGCAATTTTTTTTGCAGTGTTTAATGATAAGTAGACTGGAGTTTGAGAGGCAAAACTTTAGAAGGAAGGTGTATAGGGGTTTGTAAAATTAATCAGTCAACCAGAAAAACATCTTCCAATGTACTTTACAATAGAAAGTCCAAAAACTTAAATAATTTAGTAAGTCTTGTCTATTCCATTTATCTGCTATGTTTAATATTTATTCCAGCTCTCTAATGATCTGCAGCTAGAACTGTTAGATGAACTTACCTTGCAATGACGTCAGCTATATAAACAATAATACCTGCCTCATACACCGTGCTTTTCATGGGTAGATCTCAAGGAAGGCGGAAGTATCATTATCTCCATTTTACATGCAATGCAGGTGCACCTCCCATTCACACACACACAAGCATTTCAACTGATTCTTAAAGGGAATAAGTAACATCATAAAGAAACTAGTTTTTACTGGCTTTCTCCTCTTCTCTTTTCCCTGTGTTTGTGTTCACCTGCTATCTCCTCTTTCCATCTGTTTTCCTACTTTTTTCACTCACCTAATACCTTTAGATTAACTGGCTCTGGGTATGTGGTGGGATAGGACAGATTAGACCATAGAAAACACCTGTGTCTAAATGTAGTTGCCCCTCAGTGACATGTACCCCTGCATCAATTTTGTAACTATTCATTTAGAATTACATTTAGCAATGTTTATGTAGACATGCACGGACAGCTAAAAACATACAGTAATAGGTGCTGCTCGACAGAAATGTGTGCTACATGTTCACCAAGAGGAAGAATTAATGGGTATTCTGAGAGGTTTAGAAATGTTTTGAGCTGATGTTAAAGTTCAATTTCTGTGAGACATTCTTCTCCTTTTAGATCTGGATTCAGTAAGCAATTAGCAGACTGGGTTATCTGTGAAACATGGATGTTCTTTAGGTGGTTATTTTATTACTCATAAATTGCTAGACTTTAAACCATAGACTTTTAGAAAAAAATTTATGTAAGGTCTTCAAAGAATCAAGAAGGGCATATTGTCAGCTGGTGAAATTGTCCTTGCATCATTGATTTCAATGGAAATGGAGGGAATCTATTGATTTCAGTGGAGCTATGTGAGTTCACACCAGCTGAGACTCTTGGTAGATAAGTTCTCATCACTTCAAGTTTTAATCTTGATCTATTAGCTGTCTTACAACTTCAGTCAAAATAAA